CTTCAGTCTGTGTGCATTGAATTTATTTAATACACGAGTTTCACAATTTGAGTTGAATGAAAGAAATAAATGAACTTTTCCACGACATTCTAATTTATTGAGATGCACCTGTAGATGCCGTATTCGACCGCTCCAGATATGTTGACGCGTCCGCCATTTTGGAACGTATCGCGGCCCTAATGAGGCATCTACTTATATATATCTATGTCTACTATGCCAGAGCACGCACGCAGACGTACACGCGTCACGCGCCGGATGTTGTGAACTCGCTCAGGACAGTTGGACATTGCGGTGGATCAGATGTAAAAAATTATATAAATACTGTTCAGTTTCTTGCACAGACCAATCGTTTCGTGTCTTAAGACCTCAATGTATCGTCAGGAGCCGTAGGGTTTAATTTGGTTTTGTCTGTGTATGTTTTTTTTACTCTTAAAGCCATGGAGCCTATTGACTGCCATTATATGACTGACAGACTGCAACGGTTTGAGTTAAAATTCTTCGTTTGTGTTCTACTGAAGAAACAAAGTCACCTACATTTTGGATGCCCTGGGGGTAAGCAGATAAACATAAAATTTTCATTTTTGGGTGAACTATCCCTTTAAGGCCTGGTTTCACAGAGGGCTTTGGTTAAGCCAGGATTAGGCCAAGTTCAATTAGGACATTTAAGTATCTTTTATAAACATGCCTTAGTAAAAAAAACATTACTGGTGTGCATCTTGAGACAAAATAATGGCACAAATATATTTTAAGATATGTTAGTGCAAGTTTCTTACTGTTAAAACAGAACAGACATGCATTTTAGTCTGGGACTTGGCTTAAGCCTTGTCTGTGAAATCGGGGGTAAAAGTTGAATTGATGAGATAAAAAGTTTAAATTGACAAAAAAGAAAATTGTGTGATAAAAATTATTAGATATAAAGTCATAACAATCGTGACAAAGTTGAAATTATGAGGTAAAGTCAACATTATGAGATACTGTCATAATTATGAGACAAAAGTAAACAAAAAAAAGTCATAATTTTGACTTGTGCCATAACAAATTTATGTCAAGATTTTCAATGCATAGTGATTAAGTTATGAATAAATCTTTCCTTTGAGTCAGATCTTTCTAATAAATCTAAATAATGATTTTTTTTTTCACTGAACCGTTTTTTAATGATCCTGTCACAGAGGTTCACAGATCGGATCATTTTCTTACACATTTTCTTTGGACATCATAGAATAAAGCACAAAACATTATGACCATTATGAAACAACCTGTCCCAATTCATTGTATTTGCATAAAAAGAGCATACAGAACAATTTTTGTGTTCCACAAAATAAAGTCATAGGTTTGGAAAACATGAGGGTGATTAAATAATTACAGAAGTTTAATTTTTAGGAGAACCATCCCTTTAACAGAAAATATGACCTTAAAAGACATGATGAAATGATATTACAATATTATATCATAAGGAATCGAAGTAATTGAGTAATAAAGCAGAAGTGTACCCGCTGAGCCACTGCGGCGGCCAGGTTTCCTCCAGCACTGTCTCCACACACTGCCACTCGCTCTGGATTGACCGAATACTTCGTCAGCACTTCTGGCCTCAGGAAATGCTTAGCGGCCTGCACACACTCCTCGTACTGCACTGGGAAGTGCACATCAGGAGCCATGCGATAACTGCATAGTGTTAACACTCAGCATGACTGATCAAAACCAGAGAAGATTTTTCTATTCTTATTTGAATGAGATTATACTCACTCCACTGTCACAACCACTGCATCCAGATCAGCTGCCATCTGTCTGCAGAGACTGTCATATGACCCCAACTCTGATGGCAGATAAAGCAGTCACATGAAAACACAACTCACGCATAATCCCGTGAATGCAACAACAGGACAGAGAGTCCTGCTACCTGATTCGTTACGAAACGTATATAATGATTCATAAGGAAACTCTTGGACATACTTGGAGCGCCCAAGGCCCATCCACCTCCATGAATGAACATAACTGCTCTCCTCAGCTTTCCGTCCTGTCCAGGAGGCTGGTATACACGTACATGGACTCCATCAAACAGGATATCTTCAATCTGGATCTCTTGGTTTGTGATGGGCACCAGACTCTCAAAATTGACAATAGCAGAGTTGATAACTCGGACTCTATGGCTCAAACCCATTGAGTGAGCAACATCTCCCTACAAAACAACAGGGTCAGTATTCAGTGAACTGAACTAACCGTTCCCCTCATTATGGTTTTGAAATGCAGTTTGCATGACATTTTTGGTGCATTGACAAGGAGAACAAATGCCAAGTCATTGAAAAAGAGAAAAGTTCACGAAGACAGTGAATTAGGATAATTTCATCCTGCCCTTGGGTATTATCTATTGTGGTGCCAAGTTGGACAAAGTTCATCCGAACAGGCAAATCAAAGTCATTCTGATGTCTCTCAAAAAACAGATGGTGCTCTGTTAATAGTTAATACTGGATGTTGTCTGTCAGGTTTTATGCTGTTTATACAATGTATTATATATATACTTTTATTTGCTGGGTAGATATTATGTACTAAACGCAACAATAAGTTAAGTTTCACTTAAGTTTAATGACAAAACAAATATAAACTTTATTGTTATTTTATTATTATTATTGTATCATTAGTTATTTTGATTCTGTTAAAAAGAAATATGACCTACAAGTTAGGCAACATAACCTGCAATTTCAGTTTAGAATAGAATATAAAAGAGCTTTTCAGTCAATCAAAATCATCCTTTCCTCAATTCACCTGGTGCACTGTTCAAAATGTGCTACTTACCATCATCACAACTCCGCGGAATGTGGCATCCAACACCATCAGTTTCCATGGTTCTGAGATTGTCTTAGGCAATGGGATGTAGATGTAATAGGCAACAGCTATTGCTAATAACAAGGTAAAACCGCAAAGCAACTTCATCATGAAGTGATGTCTCTCTTCTTTTCTCTCTGCAGCTATCAGGGGGTTAGACAACATGACATTGAGCACTTCTACAAAGATTTTTTTGAAGTTGCTGTTACTTCCTGTGAATCGTCAAATAGCATTCTGGGAAATGTAGTCTTTATCTTTATTCTTAACAGATAATCATTGCATACTGCAAACTAACAAAAACAATAGTCTAAGTGTAATGCCTCATTTAATGCACATTCATTCTCACTAATGAGGTAATTAAGGGAAAAAATTTTTTTTCAAAATCTACCGTATTATATAATTTCATACTCCAATGCACACTTTATATTTTTTTAAAGATCAGAAATCCTGTTAAGACTAAATTTTTAATATACATGTGTAATATGGTCATTTTCAGTGATATTAGGTGTTGATTGGTTTTACTCCTTGACCTCAATAATTTTGAAGTTGTGGCCTAATGGTTAGAGAGTCGGACTCATAACCCAAAGGTTGCGGGTTCGAGTCTCGTACCGGCAGGGATTGTAGGTGGGGGGGGTGAATGTACAGCGCTCTCTTCCACCTTCGATACCACGACTGAGGTGTCCTTGAGCAAGGCACCGAACCCCCAACTGCTCCCCGGGCGCCGCAGCATAAATGGCTGCCCACTGCTCCGGGTGTGTGTTCACGGTGTGTGTGTGTTCACTGCTGTGTGTGTGCACTTTGGATGGGATAAATGCAGAGCACTAATTCCGAGTATGGGTCACCATACTTGGCCACATGTCACGTCACTTTCACTTTCACTTTCACTTTTTCAATAGTCATGTCAAATGTCTACCACTAGGGGTCATTATTGTTATGAGAAAAACCCTCATAAACCACTTACATGTGATAGAACATGTTCGGTTATACGTCTTTCTATATTTTAATATGAACAAATTTGAACAAATATTAAAACAAATACATATACACGTATATAATATGTACATATAAAATTATATATAAGTGATAAATACGCACACACTTTAATTTGTGTAATAAAATCTAAGATCAAGACAATTTTAATTATTAAAACATAACTGAGTTTCCAAGTAAAGAAGTAAATGACTTTTACAAAGCCATATTGACCAATGTAAGAACACCATTGTTTGTTATTTACCATGTTTTACCATGGTAAATAATACCTATATGGACAGCACAACGCTGATACTTAGTTAACAGTATAAAGTAGTAGCAGTGTCCTGGTTAGAAAAGTGCTCTCAAAAACGCATCTGATGTTGAATTTCATTACAGCTGACGAAATAGATTGTGTGACAAAAACTACATATTTAGCAAGTGAGTAAGGTCTGTGTTGAGTTGAAAACCAGACAGGTTCTAATGGTAGGTTTGACGTTTACCATAATCTCTCCTCACCACAGTCCATGCATGCAGTGCATGTGCGCTGAGCTCTTCTGTCCAAACCTATAGCCATTCAGGATTTTTGTTACTTCTGTGCAGTGATTACTGTCATTTGAAAAAGACTGCGGCTAGCTCAGCAAGGACTGCCAAGTCAAGGGAAAAGAGCAGCAAGGGTTTCTGCCATACATTGGGCTCTTTAGTCTTCATAACTGTAGTTTCTGCATTATTGTGAGACAACTGAGGCATGCAACTGTTTGCTTTTGTTAAACGACTTTGCTCAGAGTAGAATTGTTAATATCTACTGAAGAGACGTCAAGGATGGAGTGACATTGAACCGAACCCATTTCTGTAAAACTAAACTCAAAAAAGTTCTCAGTAATGGACAGATAGCACTGCTTTAACTTTATGAGATCATTTATGAGACTAATTTTCTTTGGGATAGCTAGCATATGGCTAGCACTGAAAGTAGATTACTGTTAGCCTGTAGCCCAAATATCCATAATAAATCAGAGAGAAATGAAACATTTCTGAATGAAACCATCTGTGGTGTGAAAATAATTATAACGAGACCAAAAGTATTATGACTAGAGGATTATAGGAGGTTTTAAAGAACTAAAAAGCACAATGATGCTAAACCCATGCTCACTTGGTTTCAATGGTCCTCACTTACTATCAGAAACAAACACTGCTATCTTTCTTTCTCAGAGACATTGTGTCATAGTGATCATTCCTAAATCAGATGCCTAAAGAATGATAAAAGAAAATCAGATTTAAAACTCAAAGGATTAGTGTGCTTACCTCCAACCTCTCAAACTCAAAATGTCATGTGAAAATTCAGCTGTTATTACACCTGGACCTATTTCTTGTTTGAGGCCGTCTCACCACTAACCTTCGCTTTTGAGATGACATTTGAGAGACGTCATACCCCCCACAAATGATCATGGGAGTCACTTCTCTGAAGGTGTGGACACATACCAGTGACTAACGTGAGGTTTACCCTGCTAGAAAAACCAGCTTAAGGTGGCCAAGCTGGTTTTGAACATGGAAACTGGTTAACTGCCAACTTAGCCAAAATGGTCTACCAGCCTTAACCAGGTTGAGCTTAGCTAGACATTGGTTATACCAGCTAATTATCATAAATAACAAACTAGAAATCATACTGTGTGAAAATGTGCAGTTGTTATCTTAAGAACTATTTCTACCTGACCCAACCCTAAAAACTGGTTTTAGTGACATATAACTGACATTCTCAGTCATATTGATTACAGAGCTGTCCAAAAGTCTTAAACCAGAACATAGCTTTAGGAGAAACATGATGTAAAATCAATAAGAAATATTTCAGATTCAGATTTTAAGGTCACTGAAAAGTAAAATTGTGATTTTGGTCATGTGAGTCTGAACAGACGGTCAGATGTTTTCCTTTTATGAAAGCTCAAGATGCTCTTTAGATCATCTCAAATCATGCAGGAGAACATAATCATCAGGTTTGACACAAACGTGAAAAGTTCATGTAGCACGAGTGCCGCTGTCAATAAAGCAAAAACCAAATACTGAGGAAAACCAAATGCTGAGACATTCTAAAAAATGATTTTTCAGTTCAAATTTCCCCTAAAATTGTTATGCTGATAATACAATTTGTAATGGAAAACATGATATTAACTTATTGTTACTAGTAGTCTAAGACTTTTGGACCCCACTGATTTTTTGTATTAGCACTTTGTTCATTTTTGATATTTTTAGTACATATAAAGATAAATAGGCTGAAATATTTTACTCCCTCCTCTTAAAAGGTCATCTGTCATCTTCACACACAATGGTAAATCTATTGTTCTCAGACACAGTATGAGTGAAAATTGACAGTGACATTATCTCATTGTTTAGATATGTGATATGAGGCAAGTCAAGGAGCGAAAGAGATTTTTTTATTATTTTATTACCAAATCTCCTGAGTGTGATAGAGCTTTAGGTGGACGTGAGGCTCCTCTGTTTGGGCAACAGGTATCACCACTGAGACCAGCTGTAGTGCTGGAGGTCTGGATGTTTTATGTCCCTGGTTCATGCCATTCCTGTCCTGTTCTCAGACAGGGTTCTCACTGGTGAAAGGTACAGCAAGGAGACAGTGACCCTTTCAGGCTCTTCTTTGGCTCCAAAATATGCTCAGTGTTGACAGATTGACTGATCTGAATCTTGTGTTGAAGAGACACAGCAGATTTTGAAAGGTTAGTGTCAGGATCGCATAGATATCTATACATACATATACACAGATATCTTACTATACAACTTGCAGTAAAGTTATTGATAATGTCAACATAAGAGTATCATAAAAGTAGTCCATACGATTATTTTGCTATATTTCAAGTTATATAATAGCTATGTGTGGTAAACAAACTGAAATTTAAGTCATTATTCACACAAAAAAATCTTGCTTGCTTACTTGTCATTGTATGGAAACAAGCAGCTTGGACATTCTGCTATAAAACTTGTTTTTGGTGTTCCACAGAAGAAAGAAAGTCATACCCATTTTAAAAGACATGATAAGGATGAGTAAATGATGGAAATATTAATTTATTTTTGGCTAAACATTTAATGTGGAATTTGTTTAAACTGAAGACAGTACTGTGTTGATATCCAGATGGGCAGTTGTTTGGTCACTACACACAGAGGCTAGTTTCCATAGCAGCAGAGTACACTGGATTCTGCTAATAATGTGTGGAAACGAAGGGATCATGGAGTATTTGACTGAAAATGGATTAGAGCTGTAAATTAATTCTGAAAATGAATTGCAAATCTTAAAATACCATGTTCTGTCATGGTTATAGATACATAGCTCATTAAGGATGTACAAAATGTACCTGCAACCTTCATGTAGCAGCTTCAATTACAAAATTCTAAAAATATAAAAATATAAAGGAAGGAACAGACCATAGAAGATCAGTAATCCAAGCATGACAGTGTCTTTCAAAATCTAAAAACATGTAGAAATAACCCTCAGGCATCCCAGCCAAGCCACGCTAACCTGCACCTGTCTTCTCATTCATATGTCATGATGAACTTGTACAAACAAGTGATGTATCCTATTCTCAGCTCTTAACAAAAAAAAAACTAAATATGGATAAAAATATTGAAAGGTGCTCATATTTTTCTTAAATATGTTTTACACATAGTGTGTACTTACACACCTATGTCTGTAGTTTGTCATCATTTTGACTTTTTAACTCACAATTATGATTTAGTATGTCATAATTTTGACTATGTCATAATATCAACGTTTTAATGCATTGCGACTTATGCATTGGAGTATGCCAAATGTAACTTTTAATCTCAGAATTATGACATAATTCTAAATTATGATTTTATTTTAAAGAAGGTTTGTCTTAAAGAACTGTTTTTGCCTATGTTACAGGGTGTTCCGTCCATATAAGAAATCATTTAAATTAACAACATTTTTTAATTAAATAATAACAAATAAGTCACCACTTGCCATATCTATATAATAACGGTTAATGGAGGCCAAAACAATACTGGATCTCACTGACTTTCACTGTATGAACAAAAATCATAGAGACATTCAAGAAAAATCTTCTTTTGTGTTTCACAGAATAAAGACAGTCATACAGGTTTGGAGTGCTTTTTATTTTTTGTCTTCATTTCTTTGCACTGCAGTCAGCGAACTCAAACGGCTTTCCTAAATGTCATTGTGGGCTTTGTTTTTGTTTTCTACCATAGGTTTCACAATTCAATCAGAAAGACTTCTTCCAGAAAAGTTTCTTTCTTATTATGTTATGCCAAGGAAACATCAAACTGTACACACAATAGAAGTTCTCCTGTGCACATCTGCTTCCATTTTACCAGAGAAGGTGCTCCACTGTCCCTACTACATCCGCTGAAGGCAGAGAACACGCACACGTTTTGCTTTTGTTTTTCATCTCGGGCAAATGAAGAGGTGTGCAGTCTGACATTCCCGCCTGCGAAATCAACTCGAGAAGAGCTACAACTTGCAGCTGTCATCGAAAATGTCTTACATACACACACATACTAGTTGAATGTTTACATGAATTACAGTGTCTGTTTTTTATAATTTTTTTTTTACTAATTGTACTAGACTTTATGTGTAGGTTAGCAGGGTAGGTTGTTAAAAACATGTAATTTCTGACAGGAGAGTCTGTTTTGTCAAGTCTGTGATAGGACATGAGGAGTGCGAGTATGGTACACAATGCTCTTCCTCGCTCTTGGTCCTGTGCCAAGCGGTGCCACAGTTGAAGGAGTTGCGCACAAAGGATTGTTTCATGGAAGTGAAGGTATACGCTTGTACAGTCATCCAGATCAGATTCCTGCAAATTCCACACTGACACTCCCCTCGGCAAGCTGCCCTTATTCCGCTCCAGATCTCCATGTAATCAAAGGGCTGATGGAAGAAGATACAGTGTACAAGATCTTTCACTTCAAAGCTGTTTTTTGATGTCTTCTTGTTAAACATGACATATTGATAAAATGCTCCATCCAAATATGAACTATATGGGGTTAGACATTTCACGATTGGCACACAATAACTGATTAGCATTAGAATTATGTGCCTGTTATCGCTATTAGAAACATCTTGACAGTCGTGTTGTCTATAAATGAACGGCTGTCGCAGGTTCTGACAGGATTCTAACAGTTCTTTCTCTGCTGTTGTTGTTATGTCCAAAGTGGGATCAGAACGATAGAGGCGAGAGAAAAGAGTGATATTAGAGAGGGAGAGGACAGTGATAGTGGAAATTGATGGTAATGATAGTGTGGGCTGATAAAAATCAGACATGGATTGTACGAGAAATGGGCCACCAGCCGGGAGCGTTATGATTTGATCCCTTCTGTTGGTGCTTCAAACGTCAGGTACAGTGATCCCTTAAGACACCTCATTTCCAGTTTGCCTCTGGGATCATAGTAGTAGCACTAGCCTTCACTTTGATCCTCCTGTGAGACACACATGACAATAATTCCATTGTACCAGGGCCTCACTCTTCTGGAGGGGAGAGGAGTGATGCAAGAGGAGGGAAGAGTGTTGCATTTTCTAGGCAGAATGGTGACGCTGGTGGCGGCTGAGGGCTGAAACGGCAGCCTGCACAGTATTTATGGGTGCTGGAGCAAGAAGCAGCCTGGCTCAGAGCCTCACACACATCACTGCAGACATTCATCAACAGCCGAGAGAACGTCGCACCCGTCTTTCAGCTGACAACCTTCAGCAATGCTAGATCTCAGCGTCTCGCTTGGCCTTTTATTCTGTTATTCCCTTTTATTGCTTCGGCTTTTTCAGTCCATGGTCATTCTCCCATCAACTCTGTTTGCTTTCAGCCTTACTTTCTTTAGGTTTTTCTGCATGTTTTTAAGGGTATGTTCAAATATACATCCAGCTCTAAGGGTGCTTCAAATGAAATAGCTATATAGTTTTATCAGTCATTGCACTCAAGTTGACTAACTTGAATGTGATTGAAAGTAGGGTGCAAATTATGAAAAGGGTCTTCAAATATGTATTATTTTTTTCTTTTCTTACATAATATGTATATGTTTCAACAGAGGCTTTGTCAACCTTAGTTAACTTTAACTAAGCTAAACTTTAGTTAAACAAAAGGCCCTTTCACACCAAAAATGACAACTATTATTGTAACAATATAAGCGAGTTACATAAGCATGTTATATCATCTATCACTATAAATTCTAGAGCTCTTAAACTGT